AATTCACCCCTCCAACTTACACCAGGCACACGCTACCTTACAGAGTGCAGGAGCAACACAGTTCGTTGCTTCCCTTCCACAGTTCATCGTGACCCCGGACAAACCAAACAAGGCCAATTTCTTTTTGGGCCTGCGCAGCTCTTGCTTTGCTTGTCTCGCCTCCAGGTCATCGCCCTTCATCACCGTTGCCTCCACCTTTTCTGGCCGGATCCCGCTCCACGGACCACGAACACTTGACCCTCGTCACGCTTCTTGGCTTTTGAATCTGCGCCGTAGCCTGTAGCCTGCAACGCAGCAACGGTGTTTGTTCGTTCCTTCCTGCAGGGTTCACTTTGCACTCCCGTCGTCCCGTCCTGCGTTCGTTAGGTCGCTCATTTTCTAGTATACGCCAGTATTGCACGGAATAAGGTGACTCGCAAATCTCACACCTCTCCACACGCCAGGGCAGCATCCAGCGCCAACCTGGACCTCACACCACCACTCATCTCAACCTCCACACTCACTCACTGATTCACTCACTCCTCACACGCTCACTTTCTCACACACCCCAACTGTCGCCTTCATATCCACACTTACGCAGCGGTAGTCATTTCGACCCCGTCAACTCAACCACCGCAGTCCACCAGCAATATCACCACCCAGCAACCTAGCCCAGGCGCTATCCACGGTCCGTGGTACAACCCACGCACACCAACATCCTCACCAACACTGTCTGCATATCGCCTCCCCCCGGCTGCCCTGGATTCTACCCTTGTCTGGACTAGACTTGCACTGGACCCAACGCTCAGACTCTAGTCTCTCTCCGCCCAGTCCCTCGATCCCAGTCGCGCGGGTTTCCGTCGTCCTGTCCGCTCCCTTTTAGTAGCCAGACGTCGCCATCCAGAACATCTTGTCTCTCCTTCTTGCTTCACCACTCCCAGGAGACCACTTCGTTCGACCCCCTTCACCCCCCTTCTCTTCTCCCGCCCAGGCCTCGGTCGCCATCGTGTCTGTTCGACACCGTCCATTCCTTTTAAAACCAATCACATCGCCCCCGGGTCCCGACCTCGAATCCCCTCTTTTCCTGCACCCTCAACCTTCCAGGATAGAAGGATAGGCTACCGACATTCCTTACGGATCCCGATACCTCTTCACGTTCTCTACCCAAAAACCACAAGCATCAGGCTTCTTGTCACTCCTTCGCAACCTTTCTCACGAGAATTCTTTTTCTTCCGGCTCACCACCCAAAAAAAAGATTTTACGACTCCCGACCGGTCACTCCTTCCCAACTTCAACAACACAACCGTTGTTCAACCACACTCTTTCTACAACACCACTAGGTCCTTGACGGAACCGTATCAGCAGTGCTCGATCACCACACAGCTGGCTCTGAGAATTACCTCACGGGATTTATTTGCCTCCGACAAACCAACTCACAAATTCTTCCCAACACAACTACCACCTTCGGACTAGATCCCCGGTAGCCAGATTCCGCGAATCTCTTCAAGACATTAAAAACTCAAAAAAGGTAAGTGGCACTGATCCAGACTTCCTTCCTCCCCACATTCCCCACCATATCTTCATTCCCATCGCGTCAATGGCATTGTTTGGCACACCGTTTTCAAGACAGTCAAATGCCACCGCGATACAGCGCGGACAATGGACAAAGACCTTTGCTGCTCTTTGTTCATTGTCTCGCCCGACACGTGTGCCCACTTGACTCACGCTTGGTTGAACAACGAGTTCGCCTGGGCCCGGGTCGATGGCATCGAGTCGTGTCAGCTGGCGTGCCAGCGTGCGACTAAGGCTGAGTCTCTCGTCACCTCACGAAGGACATATATCAGGCTGGTGTTTCCTGATGTTGCTCGAGATGCTTGTCTTACCCTTCTTCATCACACTCTTTTTTCCTCAGCAAGCCAGCGCTTATTCGCACTTTCCTTCATTTATTTCACTTCATTCACTTCCCTTCGCTTCATCTTCATTCACTCAGATATCACCACTTCGCCGGGCGAAGCTAACCATCATTCAGACTCATTCTCGTTGATTTCACAATCCAACCTTTAAAATGAAGTCTTCCATCGTTCTTGCCGCCACTGGCGCCGTCCTGGCCATGGGTGCCGCCATCGACCCCCGTGCCATGGAGACCGTCCTCGACATCACTTACGTGACTGTCACCGTCACCGAGGGCGTCCCCATCGAGACTCCCGCTGCCACTCCTTCCAGCAGCCTTCCCCCTAAGGTTGAGGAGACCCCTGCGCCCGCGCCCGTCTTCTCTACCATCACCACCAAGCGCCGCTCTCGCACTCCCAAGGCTTCCACCACCCCGACTCCCACCCCGACCCCGACGCCCACTCCTACTCCTACTCCCACCCCTGAGCCGGTTGTCGAGCAGCCCGTCGTTTCGGAGCCCGCTGCATCCTCTTCTGCTGCTCCCGTCGCTTCCGTCGTCGAGACTACCCAGTCTACCCCCAGCACCGCTGCCACCGTCAGCGACCTTCAGACTGCCGCCATTGATGCTCACAACATCCACCGTACCAACCACTCCGCTCCCGCTCTGACCTGGGATGCCGACCTTGCCAGCTACGCTCTCATCACTGCCAAGACCTGCGTCTTCGAGCACGACATGTAAGTACCGATGAGAAACATGGATCCATCCGTCTCTAATCTTCATCTAGGACTACTGGTGGTGGCGGTTACGGCCAGAACCTCGCCATGTGGGGTGCCACTGGCTCCGAGAACTTGGGCGAGGCCAAGGCTGCTCAGCGTGCTATCACCGAGCAGTGGTACAACGGCGAGCTCAACCTCTACACCGGCTACGGCCAGGCTAGCCCTGACATGACCAACTTCCTTCAGTGGGGTCACTTCTCTCAGTTGGTCTGGGTTGACACCACCAAGGTTGGCTGCGGTGTCTACTACTGCGCTGCCGGTACCCTCAGCTCCATTGGCAGCTGGTACACCGTCTGCAACTACAAGTCCCAGGGTAAGTTGATCATTTCCCGCCTCTTCCACTTGTACGATACTAACGATGGTACAGGCAACGTTATCGGCAGCTTCGACAAGAACGTCCTGCCTCCCGGCAACGCCGCCACCGTCAACGTCGCCTAAGTGTCGTGACACGCAACTGCATTTGCACCCTTCGTGTTGCCCGCTTGAAGCATAACTGGGTTTTGTTTGCGACACGGCCACCGGGTACGAGTGCGGATGAGCTCCGTCGCATTAGCGAGGCATTTCTTCTCTTCTACCGCTGTACTTTAACAGGAGATCGCTTGACCTTTTTTCGATCTCCTTGTCCCTCTCCTGGGACCCTTTGAATCATGCGCTTTGGTCGCCCACGAATGGCATGGGCAACTATTCTCTTCATACGAAAACTTCCTTAAGGCACTCGCGTGATGGGAAAATCAACGTCTTTTTTGCGCCGGCCGAGACCATGATTCAAGGACAACTGGACATTGATGATGATGCATTTACGGATCTGGCGTGGAACAAAGAAAATCATTTTGGGGAAAGGGAACCAACCCACCATGGAACATTGCATTTTGCTCTTTTTCGATTCTTGGTCTGGTTCTTGTCCCTAGCAGTCACTTACCCGGTCTGTCACTTGACAGACGTCTGGGTTATGAATCTGTCTGGGCCAAAACCACGGCACCCTGTTTACGACTCTTTTGGTTCTTTGTACCTATGGTTCTTCTTCGACTTGAATTTCGGGTTTAGGGAGGCTAGGCAATGGGATCCATGATTTTTATGGTTTCGCAAATGTGTTCTCGAGGACAAATCGGTCGTCCATGAAGTGAAGACTTGAGTGATGTTCGGTGTTGTGTGTGTGGTGTCTCTTGTTTCTTCTTGATACACATGTATCCTTGGTACTGAATAGGATCAATGCGTCATACTGCCAGATTTCGCTGGCTCGTCAGCTCAATTGTGTCTTGTGTCGTGGTTACGTGCGCCGTTGTGAAGTGACGTTTTGTTGGTGCACACATCGGCTGCTCCGATGTGCGAGGACTCGAGGACTCGAAGTGCGTGGTTACGGTTGAGGGTACCGCACAAAGGAATTGTAGTAGGTCGGCTATTGCATCCCAATTATACTGATATTGGAAACTCAAATGAGTGCAGACTTGGAAGGCGAACACCACTGACAGTCAGAGTCCCAAGAGGGGATGCGTTCATCTTTTCAACTTCTCGACGGCATGTAACTCCTGAAAGCGCACCGCCACCTGATGGCGCGTGTGTTTCCACCGTGTGGCAGTGTGGTCCGCCCCTGAGTCCAAGTCTCCAGCGGCATTGTGAAACGTGCTGCTGCGGCTGATGGCTGTGAAGAACGGCGTGGGTTCGGATGGTGCCAGTGGATGGGATGGTTGGATGTGAGTGGGGTAGGTAGGTGGTGGTTCAACGTTGTTTCTTTCAATCTGCGACTTTGCACTTTCCGCGCGTGGATGGCTGACATGGCTGTGTTCAGAATAGATGGTAAGCTTTGAAGATAGGGGAGGGGGTTGACGGGTATGTGGGAGGAGAGTTCGCTTTCGATGAGGGTTTGGATTTTTGGAAGAAAGGGAGGCGATGGGAGGTTGCTCCGTTTATCTCGAACGCTGTCGGTAACGAGTATGCTTCTCATGGGATTTTGTCATGCTTTCCTGTTCTACGGTGTTTTTTTTTTGGATTGGTACACCGAGAAGTTGATTGATGCTGAAGAGATTTTGTGCTTGAGAAGGGCATTTTCTTGCAGGTTTACATAATGCTGACCGTCGTTTCGTGTAGATGTAAGTTTTGGGCATACGGACGTCTATGCTGATGGCTCTCTGTCTTTTGTTCCATCCATCGCCTAAGGCACGATGATGTTTCGATAGTCTTTTGCATATAGGATGCATTTAGGTCGGTGTCCTTCACAGCATCCCGCCGTGGATATCCGTACTTCCCGTCCACATTCAAACTTTGGAATCAGCTTGGCAGACCACATCCGATTGCTTCAATCATCATCCGCATAACGGAACTAAGATATCGTACGATACCGACTCGCCGAAAAGAAATGCGAGAAGAACATGGTAGTTCTTCTCACCAAATATCAAGCCATCGACGTTTCTGCCATAGGGAGGCGGGGTAATATCGACGGTCATTGTGAACCAAAGCTTGAGGACGTGGGCTTTGCCCGGAAGGACGAGAGGGGCAATGTAGGGACAGGCTTCCCGGTGCTGGAGAATTGCTCCGTGATGGAATGGCTTTTGGAATAAATGAGGCCGGGAGGAGAAGGAGTTGGGGGAAGCATCTAGAGAGTTAAGCTCCCCCCATGTCTCTCGGGGATGTTTGATATCCCGATGAAGGCGATGCCACCATTTTTGCTACGCTTTATTTCACTATTGCCGTATTTCTTCGTTGGGAAGAAGAAGCCGATTTAGAGTTTGGGAGAAAAGGAAGACGGTTGATGAAACGGGTGGAAGCTACGATCAGCGGACGCCAAAACGACATCTCTCTGGCTTCTGGAAGATGGTCTGCGCCGGACTCCCATTGCCAAACTGGGATACGACGTGAATCAGTAAGCCCAGTATCCCTTCTGTGTATAAAAGATTCTGGAAAGAACGTTGCGAGGCGGCATGAGGGATGGGGGAATGATGTTGGGGAGGTTGTGGATGATGAAGAGAAGACTTTGAAGCAAGTCCTTTCTTGCATAATTAAGCGCAGACGAAGTTTCTCTCTTCTCTTTTAGTCCTGTCCATGGAGACGCTCCTCTTACTCACCAGAGTTGCCAGGTTCTTCGGGTCCTCTTCACTGGACTGCTCCAGATCATCATCTGGCATCGAGGCTAGTGGAGTGGCTTCTCCGATTCCCTTTATCTATGGGTACCTTACCACGTCCCTCCCGCCGCCCGTCGCCCAGTTCGATTTTCGTGTTGCCTTGATGTTCCATTCTCGAGAGACGAAGATTGTGGCCGGCGATGGTAGGGAAGCGGTCGAGTTCTATGATGAGTGTGTTTGCGGTTTCTGGTCTGGGTTGTTCGGGTCGAGGACCATCATTGTGCGTTTCTGTTGTTGTTTGCATGCTTTTACATACGTTCTCCATTTGGGATTGGTCATCAATGGAGTCGAGATCCGAGGCAGGCAGATAAATGTGGTCTGGACATAGAACAGCTGAAAGGTGAGATTCTGCACGAGATCGTCACGACAGTAAATTCAAGAACTAGTGATCGAGAACCAGCCGTGTAAGGAAAGCACCCTTCATTCCAATTATCCTTCAGTCGTTCGTCACGTGAAAAGTTTGCCCAGAGACTGACTCCTTGTGGTGTGATAACATAGCCTCGGGATGGAAACGGTAGAACTGCTGGGCCAAGTCATGGTTGAGACGGAATTGCTCATCGGCCGGACGAAGATATAATAATCGAACCAGGAAGCTATAGCTACCGCATAATTCTTAACACGAGTACGACGGATGTGCGGTACGCTGAGAAGGCCAAGGGTATGCTAAGGGTTAGGAGCAGGATATTGGATCGAAATGAGTTTATGATTGAGCAAGAAGTCCTTCAAGAGACTGATGACGATGATGTTCTGATATGTTGACAGCGTCTATCGAATTGGCTTAGTATAATCTTCACGAATAAGAAGAGATAGAAGCAACGACCATGTGTGCGTTGCGCTCCAAGGGGCTCTTCTGACTGTGACGTCCTGGTGGATGAGAAAGAAGGAACTTAACAAGAACTCCAGATCGAAGTGGGACTTCTCAAATAAAAACCCAAAGGTCCTGTCGGCGCCTTACCCGCTACCTACTGCCCTAGCAATCATGGTACATCTCAAATCTATTCTGCCGTCGGCGGCACGGTCGTCAAGTTCTCGTTCACTAGTCTTCACACCAGGAGTGAATATCAAAGATGATGATGGCCGAAGACGGAGGATGACAGACACAACTCAGCTGCCATTACTCGCCGTTGCTACCACCTACGTTCACCGAATCGGGATAAGGCACATGTTGGCAGATCTGGGCAACTGTCGCGCAGAATCTGGGCCCGAAGGCCTGGCCGCGGGCAGATTTTCCCATGCGAGCTCATGCAACTTGACCCAGGCCGGCGGCTTGATCACTGCTAGTCTTTAGCCGGGGTGAAGTCGCTGTCTCAAGGCGGCAGGAGTAGCCTCACACCCGGTCTTCCCGGGGGCGGAGGGCACGGGGTGTTTTGCTTTAGGCTCAGGCCTTTCGAACCCTATTACTTGAAGACGATATGAGAGTACTTGACTACCGGTATTCTTCTTGGAATGTTTATCCACTATTCTGACACCTGGCCAGGTATTCGAAGCTGCGAAGTCGGTCGCTTGCATGATATCACCTGCGTAGACATCCCGGCGCTTGGCATGCAGGGCTTGAGAGACATGCGTGGGATGGTCACGCAATCTCGATATGTCGGCGACATGACACAAGTTGTAAGTCAACTTCCAACCTATGAAGAAACCCCCTCATGATAATTTTGACGTATACCACTGGTAATGGATTGCACATGTCCTAGGAGCTGAGCTGTCAAGTCAGCGCAGTCTAATAGGATGGGGCGCAACCAAGAGCTAAGGTGTAAGCTATCCACGGCGGAGCCACATTTTCCTTGGTTTCTCTTGGAAAAATGCTTTGCCAAAAGCTTGACCTGACCGTCACTGAATGTCACTCTTGGCTGTAACAATTCAGGTGTAAGCCATGAACTCGGATTTAAGTCAATAACCGCCACGAGAATACCGAAGATGACTATTTGGTAATATAGTATACATCATAGCGATTGATACCGTCTCAAATAAGATATCAAATAGTATGGTGGTATTATCAATCGTGATGTACATAGATATACCATCCCTCCCACATGTCTAGAGAGTGAGAGTGAGAGCTGCGGAGATCTCTTTTGTGAGTGGCCCGTGCATGGACCGGGGTGTAATAACTCCGTGGCTCTCCACGCCATCCACACGCATCGCGTTTTCTTATCTCTCTCCCTGTCAACCTCTCGCTGATACCGGCGTACGATTTGCAACCTCGATGCGAACTCTGATGTCAACCACCCGACGACGCCTATTACTTATCCGTTCTGCCTTTCTGCCCTCGAGCTAGCGCCCCGGGATATGAAGAACGGTGCGGGAGCCATTGCTCCTTATCGTTTCTTGGCCGCCGGCCACTCCCCACCAGACCAGACCGTCCATCACAGAGCTGCTGCAAGACAAAGAGGAAACGGTCTCTGGGAAAACCTCGAACGGACCAACTGGGTAGCAGATCATTGTGTCTGAGATCTAGCTTGGCATCCTGTCGTTCGTGTGTGCCTTGAGCCGTCAGCGAAAGGCATTCAGACCACCCATCGCGAAACCGAGCAGCCCAATTGACGAGGTGTTTCTCGCTCCAGCTGAAGTCAGCAAGATGAGCCCAATGGCTACCAAATTCCCTTAAGAGATTGACTCTACGGCTCTTGGAAATCACCTTCTCCTCGCCAAGTTGAAGATTTGTTACAATCCTTTCTCTTTTGTCATCTCTCTATGCAACCCCAATCTAAAACTGAAAGATTACCAAGTCTCCAAGCGATCTTTGGCCGTTGGGTCTTGATGAAATCAGACACATGGGGTCTCGGCAGAAGCCTGCAGCTATTCACGCGCTTTTTACTCCATGAAGTGTGAACCACCCATGAACTCCCCCCCCCCCCGGCGAAAGATATCGCCCTGCCGTATCACGGCCCCGTCCAACGCAGATACTACCCCAAACAAGCAACGCCCTAGCACCCGACTGGCCGCAGATCTAACCAGAGGCTAACGTCTGTCAGATTACGAAGACATGCTATTGGTCCGGGACATGCACATGGTAGCAAGACGGCAACACCATTTCTATGACTGATCGAATTTTGGCCTTATCTTTCTGCCCTGCATGGCCAATACGCCTCTGTGCATGTGTGGTGGGCGACCTCTTAGCGACGTGCCTTATGTACTATCCGCGCTATCTTTCTTTCTTACACTCAAACTTCGTCTCAAGTCTCAAAGTTGAGGTACAATCTTGAAGGATTCGGCTGACCCTGGCCTTTGCTGTTCTTCTGCCCCCCCCCCCCTCCTCGCTGCTAGTTCCCCCTCCATCCCCAGCCAGCTTTACGCCATGATGCGATCTCAACTGGCCTGGCAGTTGTATCTGTTCATGTCTGAGTGGGGGCAAATGTCGAACCGTTGTCTCGACTGGCACCTGGGACAAGGGTAGGTCCGGTATTTTAAGCTCCGATAGCCGTAGGACAATGTTCGGGATCGATACTGCCGCCGGCCAAACTGTGCTTGCTTGTAAAAGAAGCTTGCCCCGGTGCAGATACATATATACAGGAGGCCCGGTCCCAAGTTGTCGGGATGTAAGTAGTGTTTGTCTCAAGGATACAGCAGCTTCTCTCTAAGCTTCACACCAATCCATAGTCAAGTCCTCAGACGAATTGGCCCAAGATGGTGACAGCAGCTCTCAACCAGGGCGTCGGCTACGGCATCGTCCTCGGCGTGGGCTTTCTCTTCGCCATTGGCATGGTATGTCAACCATGTCGCATTATCCAATGATGTTCACGTGTGATTGACTGTCACGATGCAGATTGCCACGACCTATGTGCTCAAGCGTTACAACCGAGAGCTGCAGACTTCCGAAATGTTCACGACCGCCGGCAGAACCGTCAAATCCGGTCTCGTCGGTTCCGCAGTCGTCTCCTCATGGACATGGGCCGCTACGCTGCTCCAGTCTTCTGGCGTGTGCTACCGGTACGGTGTCTCAGGCCCGTTCTGGTACGCCTCGGGCGCGACTGTCCAGATTCTGCTCTTTGCGACCCTCGCCATTGAGCTTAAGCGCAGAGCGCCCAACGCCCACACGTTCCTCGAAGTCATCAAGGCTAGATATGGCACGGCTACGCACATTGTCTTCATTGTCTTTGGTCTCATGACGAACATCTTGGTCACGTTGATGCTGATTGTAGGTGGTGCGGCGACCGTCAATGCCTTGACTGGCATGTAAGTCAAGATCCTCTACCACTCTGTTGAGTACATATCGAAAGGAACTGATATGGGAACTATAGGAACACCGTGGCTGCCATCTACCTGCTCCCCGTAGGAGTCGTTGCTTATACCCTCGTCGGAGGTCTCAAAGCAACCTTCCTCACGGACTGGGTTCACACATTCATCCTGCTCATCATCATCATCCTCTTCTCGTTGACGACCTACGCCAACTCCGATGTCCTCGGCAGTCCTTCCAAGGTCTACGACCTTCTCGTTGAGGCTGCTTCGAGACATCCCGTCTCTGGTAACGCTGAGGGCTCCTACCTGACGATGAGATC